AACTCAATCTGCCTGCCTGCTTCGCCTGCTTTGGGGTAAACGTTGCTCTTTTTTTAAAGTAAAAAATCAAATATTTACATAAATAGTTACATACAAGCCACACCCACCCAGTCACATGACCACCAAACCACACCCACAAATTAGGCCACGCCCACAGAATCAGTTGTTAAAAAATTTGAATCCCACCCCTGGGAGGACACCCGGGGTCAGAGGAGGCTGCAGCCACCCCGATTCCTACATTACCTCCGGGCAAATCCAAAGTCAATGATCTTCACCATGTGACCAGTGGGCGTCACACACAGGATGTTCTCAGGCTGCAAAGAAAGGAGAAAAGGGATGTTTTCACAAGACAGTGAATTGACAGGTGTTTTGGGGGGGAGGGTTCAAGAGAGGAGAGGAAGCTGTTGACCACAGACCATTGCTTCTCTAAATGGCAATAATAACAGCAACAAACAGACAGGCACCTGCCATGCAACAACTCAGACTTGACAGCTATCAATAAGAAACAGAAAAAAAATCTGGATGGTGGACACGGCGGGACCTGGAGACAGCAGAAGGGAAGAGGAAGAATTGGGGAAGATTACAAAATACAGAGACCCCAAAATAGAAACAGAGCGACGGGGGCAAAAGGAATAGGATAGAAGATAAGATAAGATAAGAATTTATTTGTCATTACACTCGCAAGCGGGTGCCACGAAATGAGGTGCTCTTCCACAAGTAAAACTGGACAACACCATTGAAAGAAAAATAAAACTAAACACAACAGACCATACAATAATCTCTATACAGTTTAAAAATGTAAATACCCCATTACTCTCAGCCATTAAATTCCACAAAAATCTTATGACCCTGCATTCAAACTCAAAACTGCACTTGGATAAAAACTGTTCTTAAATCTAGTCGTCCTTGTTCTTAATACCCCGAATCTCCTTCTCGATGGTAATAGTTCAAAGAGCGGATGTCCCGGATGAGAGGAGTCATTCAATATATTAAATATCTTCCTCTTACATCTATTCCTATACAGAATAGGATACAGAATAGGATAAGATAGGATAGGGTAGGGCAGGGCAGGACAGGACAGGACAGAGATGGAAGGGACCTTAGAGGTCTTCTAGTCCAGCCCCCTGCTCAAGCAGGAGACTCTATACCCGTGATGGGGAACCTATGGCACGCGTGTCACAGGTGGCACACAAAGCTATTTGTTCCGGCACGCAAGCCCCAGGCCAACTTACCTCACTGCACATGCGTGCACCTCCCAGCTGATTTTTCAGGTCGTTTGAGGCCTTTTTCGGCCTCACAGAGGCTCGAGGGAAGCCTCTGCAGCCTCCGGAAGCCGAAAAATGGGCCTTCCGGAAATACCGGAAGTGATGAAATGGGCCTGTTTTTCAGCCTCCAGAGGCTGCAGAGGCTTCCCTTGAGCCCCCAAGAGGGCGAAAACAGCGTCCCTGGGCTCCAGAGGCACTCTGGAGGCTGAAAACGGACATTTCTGGTATTTCCGAAAGGCCCCTTTTTTTGGCCTCCTGAGGCTGATTCTCTTGAGCTTCCGGGAGGCCAAAAAAAAGGCCTCAAACAGGCCAAAAATCAGCTGGGAGGTGCACCCCTCTGCAGTACAGGTAAGGGAGCAGGGGACGTTGCACGCACATGCGCAGGGGGACATTGTGGTGCATCGCATTGTGGGTGTCGGCACGCGTGCACTATCGGCACACCCCAACAAACAGGTTTGCCATCACTGCCCTATCCTCGGGTGGGCTTACTACCGGTTCACCCCGGTTTGGGAGACCCGGTTGTTAATTTTATGGCTGGTTTCAGTAAAACAGCAAATCCCACCGCCGGCTGGACCCCGCGCCTCCCACGAGTCCCCACACGGCCCGTTTTGGATCCCAGATAAGTACAGAGCCCACATGGAGGCTCGGGGAGAGTGAACAACAGGCCTCCCCGAGGCTCCAGAAGGCCTAAAATAGGCCTGTTTCCAGCCTCCGGAACTTGGGGAGGCCATTTTTACCCTCCTGGAGGCTCAAGGAAAGCGAAAGAAGGTTCGGGCTTCTGTAGCATCCTGCCCCCAACACACACACACACACCCTTGTGGGGCTCAGTCCCCTTCCTCCCCCGCAGGCCTGCCTACCTTAAGGTCCAGGTGCAGCACTCTCATCTGATGCATGAAAAGGATTCCTTCGCAGATTTGACGCACAAACACCATGCAATCCACCTCGGTCAGTTGGTAATCCTCGTCGATGATCCGTTCGAACAGCTCGCCCCCTTCCACACTGGTGGGGGGGAGGAAACCAAGGTTGCATCAGGATGGCCCAATAAGAGGGAACCCCCCCCCCCACAACTCCCCAGGAGCATCAGGACAATACAGCAAGAATAGTAGCACTTAGACTTCTGGAGACCTCGCTAAGCAGTTTACGGGGGTCAGTGTGTTGCCCCCAACAATCTGTTTTATTGAGCTCCGAAGGATGAAAAGAGAGTCAACCTTGAGCCGGTCAGGATCGAACTGCTGGCAGTTGTCAGAATTAGCCTGCCATTTTGCATTTCAGCTACTGCATCACAATGGTTGGGAAGGAAGGAGAGAGGGAGGGAAGGAGGAAGGAAGAAAAGTGAGGGGGGGGATGAAGGAAGGAAATTTGATCCTAGGGAGAAAAGGAAGGAAGGAAGGAAGGAAGGAGGGAGGGAAGGAAGGAAGGAAGGAAGGAAGGAAGGAAGGAAGGAAGGAAGGAAGGAAGGAAGGAAGGAAGGAAGGAAGGATGGACGAAGTGAGGGATGGATGAAGGAAAGAAGTTTAATCTTAGGGAGAGAAGGAAGAAGGGAGGGAAGGAAGGAAGGAAGGAAGGAAGGAAGGAAGGAAGGAAGGAAGGAAGGAAGGAAGAAGGGAGAGAAGGAAGGAAGGAAGGAAGGAAGGACAAAGTGAGGGACGGATGAAGGAAAGAAGTTTGATCTTAGGGAGAGAAGGAAGGAAGGAAGGAAGGAAGGAAGGAAGAAGGGAGGGAAGAAAGGAAGGAAGGAAGGAAGGAAGGAAGGAAGAAGGGAGAGAAGGAAGGAAGGAAGGAAGGAAGGAAGGAAGGAAGGAAGGAAGGAAGGAAGAAGTGAGGGACGGATGAAGGAAAGAAGTTTAATCTTAGGGAGAGAAGGAAGGAAGGAAGGAAGGAAGGAAGGAAGGAAGGAAGGAAGGAAGGAAGGAAGGAAGGAAGAAGTGAGGGACAGATGAAGGAAAGAAGTTTGATCTTAGGGAGAGAAGGAAGGAGGGAAGGAAGGAAGGAAGGAAGGAAGGAAGGAGGAAGGAAGGAAGGAAAGAAGGAATACCAATAGTACTTAGACTTATATACTGCTTCACAGTCCTTGACTTACAACATTCATTTTGGAGCCATTAAAAGCTACAACAGCACTGAAAAAATTGTCTTATGGCCACTTTTCTCACTTATGACCATGGCAGCATCCCCATGATGGTCACAAGATCAAAATTCGGATGCTTGACAACTGGCTCCTATTTACGATGGTCACAGGGCCCCGGGGGGGGGGGCGTGTCACGAGATCCCCTCTGGAGACCTTTTGACAAGCAAAGTCTATGGGGAAGTCCGATTCGCTTAATGGCCATGTTACTCACTTAACAGCCATGATAAGAAATGGGGTAAAATGGGGCACAGATTCTTTAAATACTGTCTTGCTTAGCAACGTCCACGTTGGGCTCCCTTGTGGGTCATAAGTCAGGGGGGGCCCACCTCTACGTACAAGATGGGGGCTCTGCCTCCGAGCCCAGTGCCGCCCCCCCTCCCCCCACTCACAATTCCATAAAGAGCATGATCTCTCGGGGTGTCTCGATGGCGTCGTAGAGTTGGATCAAGTTTCGGTGGTTGAGCTGGTTCATCACGTCGATTTCCAGTTCGGCCGTTTCCTGCCAGAGAAAAGCGGCTGTTACAATCTGACTCTGAGGAAGAGGAGGAGTACCCGACAGAGAGTGGGAGCCACAGACAGGGAGCGGAAGGTGGTGGAAAAAACTGGGAAGGGCAGAGTCCGGCTGGATATTCAGAGGAAGACCCAGGCCTACCCGCCTCTCCATCCTAGGGCACGCAGGGAGGAGCGGATAAGGGAGAAATGTGAGTGGTGTGGTTTACGGGGGAGGAAGGGGCCCTGATCCCCTTCATGGGCTGCAGCTGTGAGGACTGTTTAAAAGGACAAACCGCGCATGGCCCAGTGCTGGAAGCAAAGCATGAAATAATTCTAGTCTTTCAGTTCTGATCTGAGTTCTGGCATCCTCACCAGTGTCTGTATTTCGATATCTGTGGACGTCTTCGAGCCCTTATCCTGCCTTGTCTCATTAATTGCTTCAGTGGGGTTTGTGTTGTTTTTCTATTTATAATTTATATGTATTTTGAGTTTGAACGGGATTTCTTCCTTTTCGCAACTGTTTGTGAGGGAGTTTTTTTTTTCTCTCCAGTCAATGATCATTGGAGCTTTGAAGCCTCGTGGAAGGAATTAAAGGGGCTTCACCTGTTTTTGTGACTCCGTTGCTTGCGCATCCCACCCTGGGTCATCATAGCGGCCTTACGGGGACCGAAGAAAGGGGGGGCTAGCAATACCCCCCCCCACCTGCGCATAACCCCTCCTGGGCCTCCCCCAAAGGGCCTACCTTGTCTTTGGGCCCCTGCTTCTTGATGATCTTCACGGCCAGCTTGAGGTCCGTGTCCTTCACTGTGCATGTCCGGACTTCCCCAAACTTTCCCCTGGAGAGGGAGACGAGGAGAAGGAAAGCCTGGAGCCGAATCTCTGCTAATATTCACGTTTTTAGATTTGTTTTTTAATGGTAATGTTAAGACACGTAGAATCACTTCGGAGACAGAGAGAGAGAGAGAAACAGACAGACAGAGAGAGAGAGAAGGAGGAGGAGGAGGGAGGGAGAGAGAGAGAGAGAGAGAGAAAGAGGAGGAGGAGGGAGAGAGGGAGGAAAAGAAGGGAGGAAAGAAGAGGAAGAGAAAGATGGAAGGAAGAAAAGGAAGAGAAGAAGGGAGGAGAGGGAGGAGAGGGAGGGAGGGAAAGAAAGAAAGAAGGAAAGAAAGAAAGAAAGAAAGAAAGAAAGAAAGAAAGAAAGAAAGAAAGAAAGA